TAATTTCTGAAGTTCGAAGGAACGAAAATATGCAAAACTTTAACCTTTTTTTTTCCCTCGGAAAAAGTAAATAATAATTGCTATTAAATCCTAAAAACATTTAATAAAAACGCAAATATTGACTTTTTTTTCCGTTGCATTGTTTAAATTGTCACAGGAAAGTGGTTTTGTCAGTTTATAAATTAAATAAACAGTCCAAAGTAAATAGTATTAATTAGATAAAAGTGTTTACTTTTATATATTTGGTGTGTCCCAAAAGTCGGTTGACATGTTTTACGTGTTGCGGATACAACGGCCAATACGAGTGAAGAAGACTCGAGCCATTTGCTTCTTCGAAATTGGTACAAACGTCATTAAAAATATATATATTATTTAACTACTTAAATGATAAGGTAATGGTTAACTGATTTTTGAACCGCCCTGTATACAAATAGAATGGAAATTAATTTTATTCATTAAAACTTTCGAAAATTTGTTTGAAATGGCTTCGGTATCGACTATTTTAAATGTTTTATACGATCGTTAAAGCTTCTAATGATATTTTTGAACGAAGAAAAATCTGTCCGTAACTCTTTACGTTCGTCCGAAACGAAAGCGTTACGGACAGACCGCCGCCGTGTCGTTTCCTATTGGATAAATTAATTGAAAAACTAACGAAGTTTCTAAAAATGTTACAAGTGTTTTTATCAATAATAAACTCAATTAAAATTTTACACGATATAATTTAATTTTTATTCGAATTTTATAATCTTTAAATTAAAAAAAAAAAAAATACGAAATATTTTCGTACTTGGAAATACAAAATAGTTAGGACATTCGTTACCAGATAGCGCCACCGTCGTCAAAAGATCATTCTCGCCGTCGTTTAGGTCTCGAGAAATATAAATTTAGATATATATTTTTTTTTAATGAAATTATAAAAGAATAAAGTAATTAATTATTTTAAATTATTTAAAAATAATTATTTAATTGTCATAAATATTTTTTAATTCTCTCATTTTAAGTAACGCCGCCACGCTCGCAAGTGGAAAGCCACAAGAATACGAAGGTAACGTATGGCTCACGCTTCGATACGTTACGATCAACAATAGTTTCGGTAATTTAATCCTGAAATATAGGAAGAGGATTAGGAAAATTCTTAATCTTATAAGTTAAGAGCAACTCCTATCTATAATCCCAGAAGGTAGCGAGATAAAATGTCAGAAACACGAATTGGGAAATTTTGTCGCATTGGCACATACCGCGACTAAGAAGCTTAAGCTATAAAGGCGACGATACAAAAAAAAAAAAAAAAAAGAGAGAGAAAGAAACAAAGATTACAAACTTAAAAAATAGTCGGAAGAGAAATTTAAGCGTGACTTTTAAGGTTAGAGGCTTGTTTTACAAACAGACCGAATCGGAAACACTTGTTTGGCAACACTTCTTCCTTGTTATTTTTTTTTTTTAACCACAGGAGCTCGTCTAATAAAGCGAAGAGAAACATTTAAAGAAATTAAACACGGCAAAAATTGATCTTTGATCGAAACCGATCCATTTTTTTTAAAAATTAAATTAAAAGGAAAATAAAAAGATAGTTCTAGGAACTGATATCGGCGGCGCCTCTGTCGCATCGGCCATTGGCAGAAGAAAGTGATGATTGCATTAAGAGCAGTAATTAAGGAAGCGGTGTCAATATTTATCTTTTCTGACAGCGCAGTTGTTTTTAATATTAATGATATACCTTATTTGATTAAGAGTACATCCGGTTACTCTACGTTTTATTTAATGGAAGCCCGGGGTGCTAGCTCCTACGTCATATTACGTAATTAACCGTATAAAAAAAGAAAGGAAAAATAAAATGGAGTACGTACAGAGCTGAAAACACGCTGGAAATAATAAAAATGGCGTATTATTTTGTATTATAAAATACCGATATATATTTGGGTCAAAACTAAAAGCTTTAATCGAAAATTTCAATTAAAGAGGATAATCGTAGAAAATCGGATTAAATTTTCCCGCTACATTTGCCATTTTGATAAAGTTTGTTTAAATTAAATTTCAAAACTGACTTTTAAAATATTTAAATTAAATATTGATTGATATTTAAAATAAAATCTTNAAAAAAAAACATTATTATTAAAAACTCCAATAATATGATTGTGTGGTAAGTAACTAGCTATCAGAATTGGCATTTACTTCAATAATTCTTATTCAATTTAATGTAACAAAATAAGATAACCATAAGTCTGAAACTGCACAAAATATTAAAATTTATTGTTCTTTTAAACTGAAGGTAAGTCTTATATTTTTATGACAAGATTCTTATATTTCTTTTCAAAGTCATGCCTCTTATATTGGACAGCAATTTTGAAAAATTGTAGATCTATAAATTCCCACTGTTGTCTGTCCGTCTTTCCATAATCTCGAATGGAGTTAGATAGATGAAAGACAAGATCAGATATGGAAACCTTGGGGCAGGAGGCCCCGATTAACTATATACAAATTTCCAATACAAACTAGAAGTCATGTTATTTTAATTCAAAAATTTTCTCCCGAAAGGTGTTATATACATGACTGGCATATCTCTATTGTTAAAGGAAAAGTATTATATACAGGTGCAAGTCTTTACTAATTTGAGGTGGAGAGCGTATATTTTAAATTAAATTAATTAAAAATATGACGGTCACAATGCCAGGCTGAAATTTTTAATGTCCCAATAAATAATTGCTCATTGTCTTTTAGACTATTTGATACTGCAGATTATTTATTTTGTGAAAAAACTGGAATAAAGCATATTTTGACATAGGCACTGGTAAAATTTTTCTTTGAGTGTCAAGATAGAAAAAAACCATTATAAAATAATAAATTTCTCCCATCATTGATCTTGATGTAAGTAGACTTTCTTTTGTCTGTATTACAGGAAGAAATTTATGGTTTCAAATCAGAATAATTATTAATATTATATGAATGGCCTTTCAAGAATCTTCCTCAATATTTATATATGGTTTAAATGTGTGACATGCACACACACATTGTCTGTCTGTCTCTCATACTGCTGTTTTTATTAAGTTTTATTTGGATTGTTTCATATTTTCATTGTTACATTGATAATAGATAGATTATTTGTATTGAAAACTTTTTGTTGTTGAGATAGCAATATTATAAATATCATCAAAAGGTCAATACTATATCATTAATGGCACATGAAATAAGATAAAAAGAAATATATAAGTTCTATTTTAATTTCAATTTAAATTGATTTTGTTACTAATTTCTGATAGTTATTTGCTTACCATACATTTTGTATATATGAAACAAAATGTGGTTTAATTTAAAAAGCGTAGTAAAATATCATTCATAAACATAAAGGAAATAAATTTTAATTATAGTAAACTCAGCATTATAATAATNTTACTTTTATACATTTCGTTATCGTTTAATAAGAAACCTTAAGTATAAAAATATCTAAGGCTTTTACGAAAAATTTTGTATATAATTTACTTTTTAATTCTATTATTTCGTTTTAAAAGGGTATTTTAACGATATATAAAATCGGTTTTACAAGTTTATGAATGAAGAATTGAATACAAATTTCACGAAATAAACGTAATTAAAGGTGATATTTGCAAATTAAATATGCACGGAAGGCAAAATAAAGCTAATTAAGTACCAAATGTACGAATAAATATATATATATAATACACTGGTACACAGACACACAAACGCATAAGCGCGCCTTATAATGCAATTAGTGTAATTACAGTAAGTTAAGTTATATTTATCGAGGTATTTAATAGAAATATTGAAATTACTAACAAAGAATTTTTCATCAGACATTTGGAAATATTCAAATGTAGGCGTCGATTGAAAGAAAATAATAAAAGAAGTTTTGAAGCAAAGCGAACAAAAGAAATTCTTTGATATCGATCGACTAGTATTTAACTTTTTACAAAACCAAATTGTAGAATCACGTAGCAAGAAAATGGCTCCCAATTCGTCCATCGACAGCTGTTGACTAAACTAGAGTCGAGTTGCCACCACCACTCATTGTTGTAGAAAAGAGTCAAATTCGTTTTTAGAAGTTAATTTGATGAAAACTTCTCACCTCCTCCTCCCGGCAAAAGGGAGCAGGTGCAATGCCACAAAAGATCCTTCTTCCTTCTTTTCACACCTATTTTCTCTACAAGATTCGTTTAAACTTCTTCTTATTCTTCTAACCTTTCCATTGCGATTTTTAAACTCCATTTTCCTAAAAAGAAAAATTCTGCGCCATCTCCACATCGAAATCCTTTAAAAAAAATCTCCGAAAAAAAAAAGCAAGTTTAACTAATTATCGAAACACGTAACTATTTACATTAAAAACTTGCTTTTTTTCCTTTTTTTGTCTTATAAAAATTATATTTATTCATATTTTCGTCTTCTCCGTTTGTAATAAAAATAATGCCATCGATTTTTCTTCTAGTAATATGCATTTTAATTTATTTTAAAGTTAAACAAAATGTTGGAATATAAAATTTGCATTTTCTTCCCTTCTCTTTTAATTATAATCACGTTCTCTTCTTCTTCTTTTTTTTTAACCCCTTAGTTTTTAATTATTGATGAAGAAAAATAATTTTTTTGTGTCGATCATTCCCAAATTTTTGCCTAATTCGTTAGCAACAGTCGAATTTTTTTTTTTTAATTTTTTTTAAATTTGATTAACGAGATAAAAGCAAAATTCGAACGTCAAATATTGTATTTAAAAAGTTATTTATTATCTAAAACCCGTGTTTCGTTTTAAACAAACAGAGAAAAGTCCTTAACGAAAACCAATTAACTTAATTGGAAACAAATTAAATAAAAGCACTAATTTTGGAATGTGTGTACTTTCAAAATATGCAAATTACTCTCGGCGCGTGATGAAGATGTCGCAATTTCGAAATAATAAAAATCTATTTACAAACTCTTTCGATTTTTTTTTATTTAAAAAAATAATAATAATTAATTTTTCTTCAAAATTTTCAATAATTACATTTATTATTTTCTCGTCTCGTCGACTGCTTCTTAAATTTGAAATTCGTACCGAAATTTTCGGCAATATCTTCAGTTTCTTCTTTACTTATATAATTTTTGTAGACATTCTTTAGTTTTTTGAGGATAGAATGACAGTAATCCGCAATATCTTTTATTTTTTTTTGTCACTTTATTTAATAAATAGTCGGCAAACCACTCGCATTAATACTTGAAGCAATCTCATCAATAAGAAAAAAAGAAACCGAGATGAACTTTGTTGTAGAGTAAACCGAGAAAAGTCTTTATTTTTCTTTTTATTTTTCTTTTTTCTTTTCGTCCTCGAAGAAATCTGCAGTGGCAAAGATGGTGTCGAGACTCTGGTCGTTTGTCTACGGCCGAGGAGAGATTTTTATCTTATGGCATTTCCTCCACTTTACCAAATGAAACCATCTTAAATTTTTTATCTCTCTCGCATCGGTCGTATTAAATTATATATTTAAATATATTTCAAATCTAGGAATTTCGATATTTTAATATAATTTTTCATGCGATTTAAATTTTTAACAGAGGATAAAAGGCAATAAATTTTGGTTTTCGTAAGCAAGATCAGTTTTGTCTAGCGTAAGACTTTGCCATCTCGAAAAATTGTTGGCCGGAATGGTTTATTTCGAGAAGAAACGAAGTATTTATAAGATTATTTACAAACCGAAATTGGAATTTTGAACAAACAAAGTGGGGTTGTTAGTGCGGACCATCGTTTGGGAATTGATCTTTTTTCTGTCGATCTTCTTCCTTCTCTCTCTCCTTGATTTCCAACGCATAAAACTATAAAAAAAAAAAAAAAAGAAGGAAAGATCGGTAAACTTCGTAGGAAGAAGCGATATTCCTGCGAGAGTTTCTGGCGATTCGAGAAACTGATCCTAACGAGAGGAATCTCTACAATCTTCGTCTTGGGATTGAAGCTGCGTTTCTAGTCGATTGCCTCGATGGCACCGACTCTGTTCTTAGCAGCAATTTTATAGCCGCGGAAGACAGAATTGGAAAATTCTGTGGTGCGGATATTATTTAAAGACACAGAATACGGTAATTGCGACTCCACTCCAATAACTTCTTAGGTTCCACGTAAAAATCCGCTCGTAAAAATCTTCGTCGTCGACATAAAATCTAATAAAGATTCGTTTTATCCGTTTATATTCTGACTTTTAATGTATTCCTTTAACTTACTTATTCTCTTATACAGTTGGCAAACCGTATACACTTTTATAGCTTTTAGATATCCGGTAAAATTATTGATTACATTTTAATATATGTAATTCTCTTAGCATCTCTCCAAAATACATTCTTACTTTCTCTCTGTTCTTAGTTATTTTTTTTTAATCTTATTAATACCAATCTTAATCTTTCTAGTCGGATTTCTGTAATTTTTTTCTTTTATTTCTTACCATGGGAACCTTAGGATCCTTCGGGAAAGTGGCATCTTTAGTTCTATTGTTAGTTTAGCTTTTTATTAAACGAAACCCTTTTCGTTTCCTATATTAAAAGAAGAAATTATATAATCTATAATTAAATTACATTTCGAAATTTATTCGTGATTTGCTCTTATAATAAATTTTATTGTTAATTTAGAAAAAAAAAGAGAAGAATTTATTCTTCTTATTATCGTTTCCACTATTTTTAATGCTTTTCCATATATTTTATTTTATAAAGGGAATTCTCGAAAGATTACATTTTTCTTTTTTTTTACGATTTTAATTCTTTGCTTAAATTACTTTTTCTTATTTTTTTATATTAATTCGGCATAAATTAAATTAATGCATTTATACAATTTATCCAAAAATTAAAACTAAAAAAAGGGGGGAATTGCGCCAGGAACCGGATTCCATCGAATAAAATATTTTTGGAGTCGTTCGCCCTAAGAAAAAGGTAGTAAAACCACTAAATTTACTGAATTTGAATTAATTTTTATATATTATTTACGTAATTTTTGTCGATTTAATTAATGATTTTTTTAATTAGTAAAAAAATTATTAAGAAATTCTAGTCTACAGTTTCGTGTTAAAGAAAAAAAGGTAAATTAAATGTACCGTATAAAAAATATATATATATATATATATATAAAGCAATTTAAACAGTATAACAGCTGTGGATAGAAAGAAGTCATAACAATTTACTGTAATAAATCTCGAACAGATAAGTGAAGATGGTCAAAAAGTATAAGTCTATCTTTGGAAAGATCATTAAACTATAGAATCGATAGAAGAGTAAAAATCTCATTAAAGACCCAATAAAAAAATTAAATAAATAAACAAAAATAATATACACAAATAATTGGAAAGGAAAGGGTTAAAATGACGAGTCTCGTCCGCATTCATAAAAATAATTTTATAACCGCGTAGAAAAAGGAATCAAAGATTTATTGCTGGAAATTGGACTATAAAAGATTATTTTTATGATCTTTACTTTAAGAATTCTTCAAATTTATTCTAAAGTAATTTGATCTAATTTAATTTATTATAAAGTCTGCATCGCCACTCACTAATGGTTCGCATGCTTTGGGATTAAATCATGCAGAAAATTGAAATGATCTTACTAATACATCAACTCTTCTCCCACTCAATTTGCATTTTTTTTTTCTTCTTCTTCTTCTTTTTTCTCTCTTATTTTCTTATATTTGCACCTCTGTCGTCGCTTTTTTTAATTCTTTTGCCATTAATAAATTTCAAACAGTTAATTTATCAAGCTATAAATTTAAGTTTTCTTTTCTTCTAGACAATAGCATCTATTAATTTATAGCCAAGAGCTATAAATATTCGGTCGGGGATGAAAAAAAAATAAGGAAGGTCGCTTACTCTATGTACAGTACTATTTTCTTATCTTTTCTTCGTTGGATTCCTCGAATCTTCTATATAATGAAGATCCTACATCCTGGTGAATACGAAGATCTTTTATTCTGCGGAATGTAAACTTAGATAATTTATTTTTCGGAATACAAAGATTCCATATTATCGAGAATATAAATGACAATCCTTTATCCTTAGGAATATCGAGGAAGACCATTTATTATCGGGGACGTCGACAAATATCCTTTATCCCGGGGAATATAAAGGAAGATCCTTTATCCTTGGCCGAAGACGAGGGAAATCAAATAAGTTTAGATATGTAAATTTATTAAATTATGCGCAAAATCCTCTCATTCTCGTATAAAAAGCATTAAAAAAACTGTCGACCGGTACAAGAAAAAAATATATATATAAGAGACGACGTATCTCGACACCGGTTCGAACTACCAATATTTACTTCTCGACTATCCGAAAAAGATAAATTGTTATATAAATATATAAAAATTTAAGCTAGAGAGAAGAAAATCCCGGATTCGAATTCGGATCTACTGGATTTTCTACCATTCTTTGTTTTTTGGGGGGAGAAGGGAGCCTAAAAGAAAGCGAAGAATTCGATGTTTTTCGCTTTGGAGTAGATAAAGAGAAAGAAGAAAAAGTTATATATTTATTTCGTCGAATCTACAATCTGCAGAGATTCTTTAATAAGATAAAGTCATCGAAAGAGGGAATTTGTAATCTTCGAACAACTTTTAAATCGTTACACGTTCCAACTCGGAATTTAAAGTCGTAAAATAAATGGTTTAATAGCTAAGAATTCCCAGAAATTTTATCTCCACTTTCATCTATTTTAAATGCGCTCCGCTTTATTTTCTTCAAAGAATTATTTTTAAATAAATTTGAATATCGATTGAATTAATTTATATATATATATATATTTACGCGCTTATAAACTACGTACCGTGATCCAAACTTTATTAATCACTATACTTACGGAAATTGTAATTAAAAATGTAAAATTACTTACGTTTATCTTGTAAATAAATAAATAAATGCGGATAACTGCATTTGAATGGCAATTTGAAAGGGGATGCGGGTCGAAATCCGGGCGACACTATTACAGAAATTACACAGTTACTTTTAATAAACCGAATACCTTTACACGGCTACCGTTTAAATTACTACATTTAAGTATACTTTAAAACACTATAATTGTAGAATTTTCTGGAGAATTAGTACAAAAGTAGAAAGATTACAATTCATTTTCAATTACCTGTAGGGCCATTACCGTTAAGATTTTTACTACTAACCACACGGACGATTACCTCGACTATTGTCGCATCCGTAGTTGTTACTTACTTACAACCACTGCAACCGATACAATTATTAACTGGACCGACTACTTCTACTATCGACTAATTGTTGCCAGTTACAATTACAGTTACTACCGGTGATAATGATTATTTCCCTTGTAATTATTGCCGATGTAGTCGTCGTAATTATAAACGTTAGTTGTAAAGTTACCGTTAATTACGAGTGATGCGCTTTCCTCATTTATTACTGATTACATTTATCGTTTGTATTATGATCGTTCCCATTTATAAAATTATTATTTGATTATTATTTACTTCACTTCCTTACTTACTGTTTCTACTGTAATTACCGTATTTTTTCTCCTATTAAATATTATGTAAAATTAATCTAATTTCGTCGTGTAATTTTCATCAATTACTCGTTTAATATTTAATATAAATCTGGATATTTACGCCGAAAAAACTGAATAAAGTAACGATTTTTTTCTTTTTTTTTCTTTCTTTTCCATTAAAGTAATTCGAGTTTTGCATTTCGTAGCCATTTTTAGTACTATTTCTGAGGTCGAAATATATATATATATATATTTTTTAAAGATTTAATATCCATCCGGACGTCGATCCAATAAATTCGTGCGCATTTAAAATGGAAGGAAAAAAAACGTAAAATATATAATAAAATAAAATATTTAATTTAACTTATATTTTATTCGAAATAAAAGATAATTTAGTACTTTACATAATTGGAAAAAAATAAAAAAAATAAAGAAGTTAACGACGATGGCGAGTGGAGAATCCGAGTACAAATATCCACTTCGTCTATAATTTTAAATCCATCCATCATCAACGAAATAAAAAAAGAAACAAAGAAAAAACGAAACAAAACAATTTAGAAAGAACAGAAAGATTTTTTGATATATTTTAAAACAGCTTCGTGTTTTTTTATGACTGTACGAAACGTCACTCGATCTCTTCGTACGTAGGTATGACGAAGCTCTCGTTATTTATTATTATTTTTTTTTATTACGTCATTATACAAGTTAGGAAATTCGGAAAAATGACGTATAACGCGTATCGAATAACGCATAACGCTTCGCACCAATCAAAAACGTATTACATTTCCCGCTAGATGTGACGAGTCAGTCATTGGACGAGAACAGACTCGAATCTCCGGCCGGCGTAGTTACGTATTAGTCGAAGCGACCAATGGAAGGCGAGAACGAGAGGCGTTAGAAGTTAGCCAACTAAAAACTCGGTTAGAAAAATTTTGATTTAAGACTTTTGTAAAAAGCCACCGGAGTTATTCTGGGGAATTCGATAGAATTTTCTCGGAATATTTACAATAGTAAGTCAGGAAAGTGTAGATAAAATTCGTCGCGTGGATATTTAAATACCAGAATCTACTCGATAAGTCTTCCTTCGTTAGAGACGGTCGAGTTTATTTAAGTCTTCTCTTGTCAAATTCAAATTACATTCGAACGTCGGGGAATTTCCGGAAACACTTCCATCCGCTAAGATATTAAGTGTGTCCGACGAAGGGGGATCGATATTAAATACGGACGGTTCGAGTAAGCTTTCCCCTCGTCTTAACGCACAGACTCCACTCGTTCGCTTAATGGAACGTCAACAATAAAATATCCCCAAAGGAAAAGCGAGGGGGGATGACCAAACGAGGCACCCTCTACGTCTTTCTTTTCTCGACCGTAACCGCGTGTCTCGCTACTAATACGAAAGTAAACGGAGCTTTTGTGTGTTTCGTCACCAGTCGCACTCCTTCTTCCCTTTCCTTTCTTCTCCCTTTCGTCACCTTTACGTAAAGTTCGACGATAGATATAAATGTCCACCGGTCCATTATCGGATTTTCTTTAATTTCTTCCAACGTCGGATGGTGACGTCGCGTGTTTGCTTTTGATTTACACTTCTTTTTTTTTCTTCTTTTAGTTCTTTCTGCGGCGACGACAGATTGGTCGTTTCCGATGGTACCATAATGCAGAATTATTGATCGTTGTCTATAAGAATAAAGGATGTTTGTAAGGTCGAGATAAAGAAATTGCCACGTCTGATTTTACGCTCTGGCCTTTTTCTTCGAATATCGAAAATTGAGAAAGAAAAAAAAACTCTCTGCAACTTTAATAAGAAAGAAAAGAAAAAAAAAACACAGAAAAAATGTAAAATTTCTTTTTCGTTTCGTTGGATTTTCACTGATTTCTTTTATTCTTTCTCCGGATTTTCGGGAGGAATTTGTTACAAAATCGCATCTTACGAAACCCGAACTTTCGTATAATAAAGTGTAAAAGAAATTAAAGAATTTGTTGCAAATATTGTTTTTTAGCGGGGTTTTTTTATTGAAGGGAGGGAGATCGATATTACTTTATTTAAAATAGAAATAAAGATCAGGAGGGAGGTGAGGAAAATTTGGCGCTAGAAGGAGAGGAGGAGCGGTGTTTGGAGGACTTGCCATTTGCAGAAGTTGTTGTTGTTGTTGCGTTGGGATATATCAATCGGATGGGTTTGGTCCCAGGACGTGGTTAGAGAAGATAGCAGTCGAGTGTCACATATCGCCGGCTGCTTTCTATTCCTCGGAGGATAATACCGAAATTAGAAGGGTACTTTGGTCAAATTACTATCTCAGGATTAATCTATTAATATCGGATCGACTTTCCTCTTCCGACAAGTAAATACCCTCCTCATATTTTATATCTTTTCCATTTATTTATATCTTCTTTGCGACTTTCTTCCTTTTTTCCTCTTTCGTTGACTTTACGTATTTCGTCGACTACTTTAATTCTCGATTACCGAATTTATTTTATTTATCTTGAATTCTTTTTACTCGAATTTTTATAATTTTAGGAAACATTTTGCTATCGGATAATTAAAATAAGTGTAATTTTGGGCGGAAACGAGTGGGAGAGAGATGGAGTATCGTCACGATGTACTGTACAAAAATAGTTAGAGTTATGAAGATTGTCTTGAATAATTGAAGAAGTGAAACGTTAAGTGAGACGTGATCGGTCTGCATAATAAGTAGCGTTAATTATCCGGCGGGACAACATTATCGAGTTTACTGAAGCGGTATTAATATCCGCCAGGTAAAACAATGTCCTCGTTATACCGGCAGAAAGAAAAAAAAAAAAAATTCGGAAAATATAATTAAAACGACATTTTAATCGACGTCTCTCTCCTCTCCTTATTTTAAAATTTATAAATTCCATCTGCCAGAAGTTTATTTGTATAATATATACTCGATACGTAACCGATTTTTTCTTATCCTGTGTAATATGCCAACCCTGTTTACTATTAAAAGAAATAAAAAAAAGAAAATATTCCACCATTTTCTTTAAGATGCCAGCAAATTTTTTTCGTGTTTAAAGGAGTTTGTTGGATATTTCACCATATCTTCCTGTCATCGATTGTTCAATTGAATTTCTTTCTTGTGCCTCTTCTTTCTTTTGTATAGCCAAAGAATATGAGAAATAAATTTAGGGTCCTTTCACCTCGAATTTGTTTCTAACATCGATTTACTCCTCTCCCCTCCCAATTTTACAGTCTCTCCGAAGACGATATCAATTTTAATTTCGTCTTCGGTTGATGTCCGTTTGCAGGCGCTATCGAATAGAAAAAAAAGAAATTCATTTAAACGATTTCTTTAATTTAAATAATAATAATAATAATTCTGTAAATATGACTTACCTTACTAGAAATTGAGTATTAATTCGACTTGTCTAATTTAATAAGGATGGGACACCCCGCCGTTTCGGGGATCCGGGTTCGAGTTCAGATGCGATCTTCAGCCGGTCGAACCCGTGAGGAACGTATAAAAAAACATATAAAGGACGTTTTTCAATATATATATTTTATGAAATGTTACGGTGTTATATGAATTAACTCGGTTTATACGCGATTCGAAGCCCTTTTGAATCCAAGAATTGAATCGTGTCGAGTAAGTCGAGATGCCGAGTACGGTGAAAGTTCTTTCGTATTGTAACCGTACTCGAGACGAAATTCTTTTTGCATCTTAGAAATAAACGAAATCGCCTTCCTCTCCTCCAATTTCTATAGAAATTTCAATAAAAACTGCACAGAAATCACACTTACGTAACGAAAATACTCTCAGATTTATCAGGAATTTCGAACCGGAGCCGGAAAGAACGATCGAAAGACAAAGGAATATCCAATAAAACGGAGTATTCCATATTATGAAAAGACGTTTAGATACATTTTCGGATAAGAGAGACGTCGGAGAAAAGCGTGGGAATTTCGGTTGTTTAGAAAAGACGAAGATGGTCTCGGAATCCTTCCTCGTTTTACGGTGATAAAAAAAGTGGCTTTAAAAACGAGTTGTGTTCGATAGCAAAACCTTTTCAAAATAGTATGTTGAAGTAAATGGATTGATCTTTAGTTTTAATTAAGGAGATCCAACCGAGCAAACTCGATTATGAAAATCGCCGCGGGCGTTGCAAAGTGTTCTTTTCTCGTTGTCTGGTCTTCCGGTGTCTTTCGTTCGTCTTTAACGTCTTTTCACCGGGAAGGGCGTAAAATATCGCAGGGCAAAAGCCGTAAAAATTTTAAATATAATAATTTAATCCATTAATTATAATTACTTTTCGGCTACGAAAAATTTGATCTTCTCGCATTAAAAAACGAATAACAATAAGGGAACTTTAATTAATTTCTAACGATTTATAACGGTCCTAAATACGTTTTTAAATATTTATACCGTTAAACTTTATCTTTTAAAACAAATTATTCGTCAATTTATAACGTTTAGAGACTTAGAGACTTCTCAGTCTCTAAGAATCACGTGTTTAAGGATGCGGAATTTAAATTTCTCGAAAGAGAAGAAAAAAGAGAAAATAAGAGGAGACTTTCTACAAAATCTGGCCATAGAAGGATAGAATAGTCACGTGTCTCGACGAGTCTCTCCGTCCCCCGCGTGACCCGGACATCACCAATCCATAAACCTTAAGCAATAACAGAATATTTTCTTTTTACTTTGTGGATGTATTAATCTAAGCTCGTGACTCGACACAAATTTTGCATTTAAAAATGTAAAGGTGTAAAAGATTGGTCGGCAGATGTTCTCTACTTTA